CTTTATAGGGACTCTATTGCTTGTGTTAGAATCAACGGGGTCTACTCGGACTAGTTTGGCATCCATAAAGGTGTCAGACATGGCTGTGTGGCTTCCCCGTGGCTGATCAACCTATTTATGGACAGTTTGCAAAATTTTAAATTTGAAGAATGCGGATTAAGAATGGGTGAGTTAACCGTCAAATGCCCTTTGTACGCCGATGATCAAGTTATTCTTGCGTCGTCGGTGGCCGAGCTGCAAATGATGGTTACATTAATAAAAAAGATCATTAAAAAAAGGGGTATGAAAGTGAACGCAAGTAAGACAAAAGTTATGGTTTTTGAAAGAGAAGAAAGTAAGACGATATGTGAAATATTCGATGATTAAATTAGATGATTTTGTATACCTGGGTTGCGTAATTAGCAGGGATGGCAGATGTGATAAGCGATATAGAACGAGGAGTGAATGCAGGAAATAGAATAAATGGGGCTTCTTCACTCTATTGTGAAGAGTCAAAATGTGTCGAAAAAGGCACGTATGGCTATTCACAATGCTGTGTTGGTCCCTACTTTAACGTATGGTAGTAAAAGTTGGGTGTGGCAGAAGAAGCACGAGAGTAGAATGAACGCAGTAGAAATGCGGTCGTTAAGGAGTATATTAGGGCTGAATCTGAATGACAGGTTAAGAAATTGTGTAATAAGGGAAGAGTGTGGTTTGCAAAATGATGTTGTGACCAGGATTAAGATAAAAAAAAAAAAAAAGGAATGCTTCGGTGGTTTGGTCATGTGGAAAGAATGAATAAGGAAAGAGTGACAAATAATACTTATGTTACAGAAGTGAATGGCAGAGTCAGAAAGGAACGTCCTAGGCGAAAGTTTATCGACCAAATTGGCGATATATTGAAAACGAGCCAAATTGGGAGTACTCTTAACCGACTAGCATGTATGCGTAGGTGTATGGATGTGAAGGAGGCGAGAGAGGTGTGTCAGGATCGTGCCAAATGGAAGTCTGTAGTCTCTGCCTACCCCTCTGGGTGACAGGCGTGAGTGTTTTTGTTGTACCGATGGACCGGGCACAGTCAAGGATATTTTTGGTCGACATTACCATTCCGTATGACGAGAAACTCGTGAAAGCAGAAACAGATAAGCGAACAAAATATCTGGACCTGCCTCACGAGGTACCACGAGTCAGGTGAGGCGCTCACGAGGTGAGGCAGCTCACGAGGTGACTGACATTTGGGGTGATCTGCCGACCGAAAATATTCCTGTAGTCGTCTCTGCGAATGGGCTAATCCCAGTCAGCCTCTCCGGTCATCTGAGGCGACTGGGAATCCGTGATGGACCGCTCCGGGCTCAAATGCAGAAGGCATTGTTCCTCGATACCGCATACCCGCATCGTCCGCCGGTTTCTTTCCCTTTCCTCCTAACCATCGGCCGTCTGGTCTCCCCTGCCGAGGGCTTCCATCTGGTTGGTTTTTTATTTATTTACGAATTTTTTGTATTTATATATATATATATTATATATATATATATATATATATTAATATATATATATATATATTATGTATGTATATATAACCCCAAAATTATAATAAATAACGTTTATTAGCAACGAAATATGTCTAAATACAAAGGAGCATTGTCTCCTGAACTAGATTATTTTACTAGTACTCTGTGAAAGCGTATTCCTTTCCGCGTTAAGCCGACCAATTCATGCTACAACTATAATTTGTTGTCCCTTAATCTTAACATTAAAAATATATTTTAGTTGAAATCTTGTCAACTTCTATAGATTTACACAAACAAACAAAGCAATATTCCGCTGGCTATCTTCCTACAGCCAACTTGTTTCTATTGGCGAAGTTTCCGATATCTTTATCTCAAGCATCGGCAGTGTTGGAAATCGGACTTTGGTTATGAAGCTTCGAACAAAAACATTTTGTTAACTTTGTTTCTTTTTAGCCGACTTCAAAAAAGGGAGCTATTCAATTTAACTGCCTGTCCTTATTATATGTGGCCCATAAACACCTACATCTATCCTCGATTACGAATCAAAATGCAGATGCGTTGTCATCCGTGAGGACTAAGATAGAATGCCTCGTTTCCCGTAAAAGGGATCTCCGGTTCTCAACACTCACCGTACGAAACAAAGCAGCATTAATCTACTATTTCACGATGTAATTCTGTGAGCGTGGTCCTTCTCCGGTCGAGACGACCCATTCGTGTTACAACTATACTACTCATATAACTGCAGCACCACTTATAAAATATTATACATATTTAAATATAATAATAACTGTAATTATAATGGTTCTCTATACCTTTCAGATTGTAACAAAGTAGTACAAGCAGTGTAATTTGTATCAGAAATATCTAAGACGATTGTCTTAGACGGACTTCTCTGCAGAATTACTATGAAGTTATACTGGCAGGAATTATTAATAATAATTATTATCTGACATTAACAGTAATAATTAATTGCAATTATTCGCTGATAATGCTACAATACACTTTCATGTTATGAAAATTATTAAAATCGCTATTTTAAAGCATGCACAGACTTTTTTTTTTATTCATTTTAATATTAATTAGAGCAGAAACGCATTTCATTTATAAAGGACCGGCCGGAGTATTAAATTTAAATATTTCACTCTAATCAGTTTTAAAGTTTCATAATGTTTTCAGCCTTTTAAAATTGTCGTATTCAATTTACAGTTTAGCCAATTTATGTTGCATGAAAAGCTACTGGCACTTATATACATTGCGAATCACTATTAGAAATCAAATTACTCTTACGTATTTTACGAAACTATACCAAATATTTTAATAAGAAATCTCTTTCAAAGGGTATTAAGACTTAATAAAAATTAAAGTCCTTTACTTCTGATATTAAAGATCTAAAATACTATAAAGACATAATGAATAGATTTACAATTTTAACATGTTTTTAGTGTAATGGTTTAAATAATTTACTAGCAAAATAAGCAATGATGGTCATTGTAAAAGTACCATGTTGTTGTGCTAATTGGAAATCTGTGTTATTTCCAATTAGCACAACAACATGGTTGCTGTGTTTCGTATATTGCGAGTAGAGAACCAGATACCCTACTAGAAACGAAGCATTCCGTCTTAGTCCTCAAGTATTTTCTTTTGCTGCCGAACTTTCATAAACTCTCTTTAGGGGCCCTACAGGTTCATGATATTTAATTGGCAAATTGTTAACATGCGGTGCAGTTAGTATTGACTAGTCTACTAGAAAAACTGATGACCTAATGTGACACGTTGGAAGTCGATGGACGAAGGTAGCTTAGGAATGTTTTCGCGGCATTCCCTGAGGGTATCATATGATCAGCAACGTACTTATCAAGGGATGGCAAAAAGACAGCGCGGTTACTTTACATAAGTAAGATAAATAGTGTATTTTTAAAATAATGCTATTCCTATATGGAAAGGTCACACTTTTGACCCAAAAATCGGATATGCCCTGGTGTAGGAGGATGATCTTCCACTTGCTAGATGGCGCTGTGGAATAATTATAGCAAAGCATCCTGGTCTAGACGGAGTTACCCGTGTTGTGACTTTAAGATGCAAAAGTTTTTAAAAGGCCAATATCAAAAATTTGTGTTTGGCCGATTACCGAATGAAAATAATTTATTCTTTTAATGTTAATTTGATATTACTTGCTGAGTTCAATGCATTAGTCTTAGTTTGTTCTTGTATTTAATTTAAATAAAATACTACAGGATTGTAAATTAGTAGTACTTAATGTTTTATTGTCATGAAATATTTTTTCTTATTATTAAAATTAAAGGCTTTGTGTTAAAATTTTGATTACAATTTTAATTATATGTTTCGTGTGTTTAATGTATAGTTTATGGAAAATCTGTCTATGGCGGGAGGGATGTATGAATGATTATATGGGAAGAACTGAGTCTTGTTGATACCACCATTTTTCTTGGAATCACACTAGACGCAAAGCTTCAATTGCTCCCTATATATCAAAACTAGCTAGCAGAATTAGTTCTGCAGCATATGTTTTAAAAAAGATTAGAACTCTTACCAGTGTTGAAACAGCTACAATAGTTTAATTTAGCTATTTCCGTAGCATTATGTCGTATGGTATTTTATTATGGGGACACGTGACTGACACTGATATTATATTTGTTTTACAGAAGAGGGCCATTTGAGAAATATATGATTTAAAACCAAAAGAGTCGCTCAGATAAAAATTTGAGGAAATTAATATATTAATTTTGGCCTCTCAATACATTTATGAAAATGTAATGTACGTACACAAAAATAAAAGTAGTTTTGCAAAAATAAGTAATATTCATTCTGTAAATACTAGGAGCAGACACAAGCTAGTAGTACCAGTTCCTCAACTCCACCGAGTCAGTAATTCATTATTGGGGTGATGTATACGCTTTTACAACAAAATACCAGAAAATATACAAAAACTTTATCAAACTAAGTTTATATAAAATGGGTTATTATAATATTAAGGAATTTATGGACGACAATAACCCCTGGGAAGGATGATTGCTACCAAGCTATTTCCCATTTGTTTTGTGTTGTTAATTGTAACATACATGATTGTAAGCTATTCTTTGAAAAAAATTGTCCCTGGGTTTCTTGCTGTTTCTTCCCAAGAAAGAGGTTTTTTTTGCGAACCAGTGGTAATGAAAAAAAGTGACTTTCAATAAGTATTGTTTCAATCTATATTGAATAAAAAAGTTTCTGTTTCCGTTTGACATTTTTGTATTTGTATTCGAACATGTAGTATGTTTTTTCATTCTACACGTCTAGTGTGGTAAGCTCGCTGTCGATCTCCCAGCGTAAAAAGTACATGGCGTTCCAGCAAAGTTGTAAGTTACGTAAGCTGTCCTCGAGCTCCCAATTTTCAGTAAGTAACTCGAGATTAGTGATATTGATTGCTCGTTCTAGTGCTTTAAAAATGCTTTTATGTCTCTCTTCAAGCTTGCTGTGCTTACCTCTATCTACTCGACTGCTACTGGCTTGACCTCATGGGGCCACTGTTGCAGCCGTTGTTGCAGTCACTGATGGTGGACGCCAATCTGAAGTCACGCTGGCTAAAGGAGTAGCAGGTCTCAGAACTGACTTCTTTTCTTGATCAATAGATAGATGTTGCTGGAAAATTCTCTGACAGTTGGTATAATGTGATTTTGCTTTTTCGAAGTGATTTTCCGAGAAATAAGCGTAGTCTTGGTCCTCGTACTCAACCAACTTGATATGATTATCTTGGAACTCTCTCCAGTACTGATCCGGAGTCTCCAATCGCCTTAATATGTAAGACGGGAAGCTCCATCTTTCTTGAAGTTGGTGAATAACTAGCCCCATTGCTTGAAGAAGTTGTTACTGATTTGATAGTAAATCCTTAATTTTATTCTAATTAATGGACGATTTGATTGGTAATCCGGTGACGGATGCTTCCAAGTTACGGTGATGATGCTGTTGCCAAGTGCTCCGGTATCCTAATGCAATAAATGCGCCGGTGAAACCCGCTCGTGGGAGGCCAATTCGCTATTGCAGTTCAGACACAAAACACAAATGCAAAAAATTCTTTTCGTGCTTGATGGAGTGATGATTACAAATCACTGCCATTGGTGACGACGTATGCTGTAGCAGGAACTTATTCACTGCGAAATTGCTTGAATAACTCGCTTGTGGAGTTTTTACTGAATAGGTGGTAATACACCGCCACTAAACGGGCGAAACGAAGTCACGTTATCGAACCGCGTGGTTTAAATGTTGATGTACAGAAATGTGCGGTTTGTAAAGACTGTATAACAATCAACTTCCTTTCAGCTGCTAACAATATACAAATAAAACAATATTATTTGTCTGTTGTCCGCTTCTGGACGTAAATCTCTTTCAAGTTGGGACAATGAATATAATTGTCACGTGTTGCAGGACGTTGTGTGACCTGTAACCTATTAGGCATCTACATTCTATCCTGTAATGTAGCTACTAGAAATTTTCCAATATAGATGACACCTTTGAGGAATACGATAGAATGACTCTTTAGAAAGTACTATCTTTGGATTTCTACACTCACCATATAACCACAGCATCAAGCAGTTATTTTACGAAGGCATTTCATGACGGTGTGATACTTTTTAGGTTGAACCAACCCATTCGTGCTACAAAACAAATTAAATTAAAGAGTCCGTCTGTAAAACTCGAATAACATCATCAAAATCATATCATAATGATATAATATTTTCCAATGGGTCGGCTCGATTTGGGAAGTACCAGATTCTCAAAAAACACTTGTTATATAAAATCGGAAACCTTTTAAGTGTGTGCTTGTTTGTCAATCCTATTGTATAAAATATATTATATATGTCATTATTTTGTAAAAAAGCAAAGTATATTAATCTAGGAGTAAGAGATCTGTTCTTTTTTTTATAGAAAAGGGGGCCAACAGGCATGCGGCTCACCTGATGTTAAGTGACTACCGCCGCCCATCATCAACCGCAACACCAGCGGAATTGCAGGTGCGATGCCGGCCCTTTAGAAAGGAGTAAGTTCTTTTCTTGAAGGTCCCCAGGTCGTATCGGTCCGGAAAAATCGCCGATGGTAAGTTATTCCACAGAGAGGTTGTACGCAGAAGAAAACTTCTTTTGAAACGTACAGTGGTGGACCGCCAAGCATCCAGATGGTGTGGATAGTATCGAGACGTTTGCCGCGTTCACGAAATTTGGTGGCTGGGATTAATCCGAACAATTCCTCAGAGTACTCTCCATGGTATATGCGAAAGAAAATGCAAAGAGATGCAACATCTCTTCGCAGTGCCAGTGAATCGAGCCGATCGGAAAGCACTCGGTCGTCGTTCTAGTAGCTCGTTCCGGTTCGTTAACCTTACTCCGACGTTATTTATGAAACCGACGAGAGATCTTCATATTTGATATGTTAGGTTTTCGTTGGCAGCCCTTTCGTTAAGATATTTCTTGTCACTTCATTTATTTCAAGGAACTTACCATACGCGTTCATTTATTACACTCTATAAAAGTCCACAGCTGGACATAGACCTACCCCCCAGATTGTATCATGGCGCGAATTACGCCACATTTGCCACGCTTGGCTGACCCATAGGCAGCCGCAGAATTTTTACTATTTTTAGTTGTTATTATGAAAACGCTGCTGCCCATCTCCTGTTTCAGATTACCTTCGTCGCCTCTTTAAGACGTTCACGTAATACAAAGTGGTATATATTTTTACACTGTCACTACATGATTCAAATTTACCACTGTTCTCAGCAATCTCATAAGATAGAAAAATATATTGGTGGTATTTTCTAAAACTTTTTTTTTCAACTATAAATCGAAATAAATTAAGTTGAAAGTAATTTAAAAGTCATTAACGATCCGCGAGAAATAAGTAGTTTGATACTAATTACACTGCAGTCCCTTGCAAATTTACTCACGATATAACATCGTGAGAAACCACGCGCCGGGTACGTGGTAAATCAGTTCTTAAATTGCCATTAACAATTTCTTTCTTGACGGCTGGGATTGAACCCGATTGCTCGCGTACTGTGAAATTTACAACAAACGCGCGCCTTTTGAGATACCACGAATTTAAGGAAAACTTAGAGAATTTTCTTTTCACTTGGAATAGGTTTAGCGAGGTCGAGAAATATAATCATAACAGCGTGCGAATAACGCGCCGCTATAATCTCAGGATTAAGTGAAATGGTCGCCGCAACAATAGCTTTTGTCGCAGATTACGACGTAGCTTCCACGTCAGTGTTACGATAATAACGATTGTGAACGACTTCTATGTATTTTTGTTATATTTTTCAACTGTAATCACAAAGAAATATTATATTTATTATTAAAAAAAAAACACAGAATAAGACACAAACTGCAATGATTATTTTATCATGACAAAATACAATATGAGTGAATTCAAGGCAAGAGTGAATAGGCTTTAGCTATGTTTAGACAGTGCTTTTTCTCAACTAGAGTTTCATCACCGCGACCTTCAGGCAGCCGCCTGCTGTCGAGCACAGGTTTATACTTAAACTTGGGCAGTCTGTCGGCAATGTTTTTAACAGCATTACAAGGTAGTGTGATAAATAGGCATAAAGTCCAACTCTATCGACAACTAAGAACAAAAATGCAGATGCCTTGTCGCCCCTGAGAACTAAAATGTAATAACTCGTTACTAGTAAAAAAAATCTCCAGTACCATTCACATATCTTAAAACACATTACTTTGGAACTAATATTCTGTGTGAGCGAGACTTTCAGTACAAACCGAATCATTTGCGGCGTGGCTACCACTAATTTCAGCTGAGACTATAACCCAAAAATTGCTATTCTATTACATATTCTTGGTAGAGCTCTTTTCCTGCCCCGGATTTCGTCGGGATAGCTAGAATATTCTTACTTATTTGTGCCGCACAGTAGTTCCCGGACTGCTGTGTTCCGATCAAAGTGTATAGAGTCCATTACTACGGACTAAGTGGCATTCAATCTTAGTATTCAGTGGCAACAACACATCTGTAGCCTTCTTTGTTTGTAGTTGGTTGTGGATGTTCATGCAGACACGTACCATCAGGGGAGCTGTAAGCTCGGGTTTACTTCAATTTCGCCTTCTATTCGACTGCCCCTGGCGAATGGCAACTGCAGTTTTTTTGTTTCATGGCAGACGCTGCTGCCCTTCACCTGGTTTGTTTCCTTCTGGCATCTCTTACGACAATCTGGCATTTTCTACGTGGTAGAGCCATGCTGCAGTTATATTAGTAGTATAGTTGTAGCACGAACGGGTCGGCTCGACCGGGGAAGGACCACGCTCTCACAGAATACTAGCGTGAAATAGTAGCTTAATGCTGCTGTATTTCGTATGGTGAGTGTAGAGAACCGGAGACCCCTTTTACTGAAAATGAGGCATTCCATCTCAGTCCTCACGGGTGACAACGCATCTGCATTTTGATTTGTAATGGAAGATAGATGTAGATGTCTATGGGCCGCAGCAACCACTTACCATCAGGCCGACTGTGTGCTCGTTTGTCAGCCTATTCTATAAAAAAAAAAACGACACCCACAGGAAGATATTTAGTAATGGATATTCTTACACCGCAACTGGATGATGTCAATGAAAAAAAAATTTTAGGCTGTTATGTTTTTGGAACGTGTGTTCAATTTGTGAATTTTCACGGCTTTTAAGGCTATTTTACAAAATTTATGGCAAATCCCATACTTATTTTGACATAATTTATTTATTTATTTATTTATTCACAAATTGTGTTACATGTGACTTAGAGACCAAACAAAACATGCAAGTTCTAATAATCACGTGCACCTCGAAAGGCATAGTAATGAACAGGACCCTCTCCTGTTGCAGACACTTAAAAATTCTTTTCCTCAATGTATTCATTAAATGAATAGTAACTTTTTTAATAAGTATCTCTTTTAAACATCTTATGAGTTTATTAATATTTGTTTCGGCTTTTATGTATTCCGGCAATTTATTATAAATTTTTATTGACATCGAGTAAGGACCTGTACTGTGTGATTTTAATTTAGATTTTGGTTGCAAAAGATTATTCTTATAGCGAGGTACGTTGTGTAATAAAGAGATTAAGAATTATTACAAAATAGTAATATATAAGTCAATGAATACTGTGTGCTAGAGAGCTCATACAGTTCTGTCTGTACGCCGTGTGCAAATTAATAGCCACGGACTGTTTGCATTCGATTAGCAAAATTTGCACGGGTTTTTTGAAGACTTCAAATTGCAATAATAATTTTATGTTTTTGAACAGCATTTTGGTATTCAGTTATTTACGTAATATAATAGTTAATTTAGTAAAATTTACGTTGTACAGCCATGCTGAAGCTATATTATGGCTGTAGCGCGTACGGATTGTCTTGACCGGGGAGGAACCACGTTTTCGCAAAATACTTGCGTAAAATAGCAGCTTAATGCTGCTGTGTTACATATGGTGAGTGTAAAGAACTGGAGACCGCTTTTACTGGATATGACCTATCTTAGTCCTCACCGGTGTCAATTCACCTGCATTTTCATTCTAAATTTAGGATAGAGATGTCTATGAGTCACAGCATTCACTTACCATTAGGTGAAATCTGTTGTCGTTTCTAACCCCATTCGATTAAAAAAATTGAGATAACTAAACAAAATAAGTACCATTAGGTACATTAAGTAGAGTACTGTTATGTGTTCCCGCTACAATCAACAGTAACACTACTAATGTAACACAGGGCAGCATTACAGCAACATGAATCTTCCTTGCCAACACTATTAGAATAGCCCTACGGGCATGGTAACGACAGTGACTCGTAGAATCACCGACCGATCCCTCTTAATCGC